TAATTTTAGGAAGTTTTGGATGCTGTTAAGGAATGTGTGCCACAGAGGTAAGTGGATATTTGCTTTGTGTAATGCTTAGATGCATAATCCTTTTATGTTATTTTATTTGTTTGGTTTAAAGTGTAGTTTATTGAGATTATGTATTTTTTGTTTGCCTCTACTGTAGAATTGGGTGCTCCTTTGACTTTTTAAGTGCAAATATATCGATGTGTACATGGACAATCTCAAGGGAATGCGCAAAGCCTAGTTTGTGCAATTCTCAGATTTTTTTTAAAGTGAAAATAGGTCGATGTGTACATGGGTACAGAGTTTGCGCAATTCTTTGTCTTGTTATTTTGGCTTGTGCTAGTACACAAAGCCAAAATAACAGGACTTCCATAAATTTGGTATTCACGTATCGCCAAGTTTCGCCAAGGGGTACTTTAAAATATATTTTTAACATTCCTTTTTCTGCAAACTGAACTGTTTTTGTTTCTCCCTTACCTTTACTTAATGTGGTTCAATGACAAGGTGATCAGAAACTAGTCAATAAATGTTCATATTGTTTCTGTATTCCGTTTTAGTCATTTATTGTATTAAATTTCCTATTATTCCCCAAAAGGCACCCTCTGGTGGACATTTTAGAACTAAAATTTTCTTTCTGAAATTCCATGAGCACATTTCATGTATAGCCCATATGCAAAACTTCGTTGCATTACGTTCACCCGTTTGCACTTTATGATGTTTATACGGGAAATTTAATTATAACCACCCAGTATTTTCACTTAAAAAGTCAAGGGAGTACCCAATTTTAGGTAAAAGTATATTTAAGGAACATTCAACTACTCAGGTTACCATAAAGGAAACAACAACTTGGAGATAAACGAAACAACTTCGTGATAATACAAGGGGTACCCTTCAGTCCACTCTAACTCCAAAATTTAAATGAATAATTTTAAAACCGAAGTAAAGTATCCAAATAAGGTTAAAAGAGATTACAGCTAATTTCACACACAATTGAAAGAAATATAATGGTTCTTTTATGTCTGAAAATACTTGCGATCTTTTGGTTATTTTGCGGGATACAAACGGTATTCTTTGCGGTATTTCTTCGGTTTCTGTGCACTTTATCCATTCTGAATTTTTTCTCTTTTCTCCTGAATAACTATCGCTTTTATTTTCACTATTCTAATACATGAAAATTTCGCCTTCTTACACTTTTCACTTCATCGATATCTTCATCACTGCTTACCTTTTCTCTATCGCCAAGTATTCTACGCATATACATAATTTCAATCTTCATTCAATGAAAAATCGAATTTATGTTCAATTAAAATGATTTCTTCATCATATTCCATGCTTATTGGGCCCTGTAACTTTGAAAATATTCCTGTTGCCAGGACTGTCGAGTTCGAATTAACGTCAAAGACGCATGTATAACAATAAACCTATTTAAGAATAAAGATTGGCAGTTATTTCATATGCACTTACTGTTGAATACAGTCATGAAGTGATATTGCCCCAACCAATCCTAAATAAATATCATTACCACTCGAAATATTGCATTGAATCGAATGGTGATTGAGAATCACCTCTCGAGTTATCACATCAAATCAAGTGGTGACAAAGAGTCACCTCTCGAGTGAAAAGGGTTAAAGTAAACCAAAAAAGCAACCTTAGGATTTAAGGATGATAAGAAGGGCTTCGGGAGAAGAAGAGGACTTCAGAAGAGGAAAAATTTTCCAGAATTGTTTTCTCCTAAAAAAAGAACGAAAGGGGGGAAAAATCACAGAAAACATCTACACCAAACCTAGGTTGCTTTTTCGCTTCATTCAAATTTTTTACATTTGCATGCTCTCTTGCAGGGATCCTTCCTGAGTATAAAGGTTAGGAGTATAGCATTGGGCAAATAATTTTCAGAAATGATATGAACAGTTCATGAAAAAATTTTTGCATTTTAATAAATAAAATTGTATTTAAGTACTTATTTATATGTCTGCAGTATTTATATTAAATTAGCAAAATTAAACTGCTGTTTTGAAGGATATTTTGGCTGATCTTTGAAATATGGTAACTGGTAGTTTGGCGGCATTTTGGAGGCAAAAAGGTTACTACCGAGAACTTTGGTAATAATGTAAGAAGTACTCAGTTCTGATTACGCATTATTTTATGTGAGGGAAATGAGAGATCATGAGATATGTCATGTGACATTAATGGACAAATTACAGTTCTTTAATCGGAAAAGGGAGGAAATCTAGAAAAAATCTGGAAATTTTGTATTTAGCTTTATTCTGTGTTGTGGAAAACAGTGTTGGTTAATTTTTGGATCCCATGGCCCTAACTAAAGTGAATTCGAAATGGGTATTTTGTGGGATTGAAAGGGGTAGTAATAAGTGTTTTTTTAAGGTTGTGCAAGATAGAAGTAAAGATGTTTTATTAAGTTATTTATTTTACCTGGTACCTTGCTGTGAACTATAACTATGATTTTAAAGATCCTGAAACAGGCACACATACGCTTGCTCTTTATTTAGCGGAAGAAATAAGAAAAGTTTATCGGCCACGTAATCAAAATTCTGAAGAAGATTAGGTAAGTTAGTATTTTTAATTATTTGAGGATATTATTTTTATGCATTGTTTTAAATGTAAGGAGTAAATAAAGTAATATGGTATTATTGGGAAAATTGTTATTAGCAATGATTTAGTTTAAAGTAATTAGGATTGTAAACTAATTTTTATTAATTTAATGTATCTGCTTATATATTTTAAGTAGTGTTTTTGAATTTAATTAATTTTAATTAATGATAGTTATTTTATGTTTGTAGGAATTTGGTATACGTTTCATTTGAAGTAAACGTGCATGGAAATAATTTAAATATTTGACACTAAGTATTGTAACCATTTGTAATGTTTGCGGTATGAATTCGTTGATGACGTTTATATTATAGATAATTTAGAGGTAAAATTTTTGAATTTATTTTATTTATATTATACGTGGAAATGTTCATTCTTGGATTGGGTATATACTTTTTCGTGATCAGATAATTTCATATATGTGCTTTTTACCGAGTTTAAAGATTCCACAGAATTTTTTTTGCATTTTCGTGCAAGTTTTTGTAATTTATGAGAAAATAGCAGTGTAGATGGATAAAGTTAAGAGTGTGTGCAATGCCATTTTTGTGCAATTCTGGGATTTTTTTTAAGTAAAAATAGTCAACGTGTAATGGTTTATGTGTATGTGCTATTCTGAAAAACGCGCAAGGAGTTTGCGATTGTGCACTTTTCCCAATTTTGCAGTTAATATTTGTCATGATTAAGCAGTTTTGTTACATAAAATTTCTAGCATAAGTGTAATTCGGCTAGTAGATTGTTGGAAAAAGGTTTCAGTAATAAAAAGAAAGAAACATGTCTTTACTTCATGAAGACAAAATGGCGGCAAAAAAAAATAGAGGGTTGCTGTAGCAGAGTTGGTCGCCAAATTTTCGCCAAAAAATCGCCAAGTTACCATAATCCAAAGATCAACTGATATTTTTTCTCATCACTTAATGTTATCAAGATAGCTGTAGACAAACATGATTGGTCACATTACGTGATGCCTAATGTGCATTTTTACCATTCGAATCCCCTTTCATGTAGTTTCATTGCATAAAAAAATAGAAAATGTAGAGTTCTGGCAAAATACTGCATATCTGAAAATGATGGACTGCTTATAATTTATTTCCAGGCAAATCTTGTAAGCAGATGATAAAAATACAGTAAAAATCAAAATAAAATGAAAAAATGTTGTCCTGAGAATGTTTTGTGAGAAAACAATGATATACACTAAAATTCAAACAATAATGATATACATTAGTTCTAAACCAGGGGCTCCCAAACCTATGCCCGTGGACACCACAGTGCTCGACGATTACAATAAAAATGTTTTAGTTATTAATAAAATTATATGTGAAAGTTTTATCATTTTAAATGAAATAGAAATTGCATCCAACACAGATACCAGCACAAGGTGAAATGCAAAAAATCTCTTCTTTATGTGCATGTAAATTCACCTTGAAAAAGTAAATGGTGCCTGCCATCCAACAGACATTCCAGAATTTGCTCTTATGGGACAAAGAAGTTGGGAACCCCTGTTCTAAATGGTTTAAAGTCAATATTCAGATACAAAAAAGCTACCCTCAGTCCCTGTTTGAGACTTTAACATAAGCCAAATGGCATAGTAGCAAGCCACCAATGATCATCATACTGATTAGCTGCACTAACATGAATAAATCGATACCTTCAATAATTATTGAACATATTCATAGAGTAAATAATTATCAACAATAAATGAGATTAATAATAACAGGGGGAAAAGGAACGCTATACTTGAAAAGCAATTTTTAAATTATTTTTTTAACATTTTAATGCTAATTTGAAATAAAGCATTCGGTTTTTACTAATATTGAAAGAATAAGCAATTATACTGCTAACAGATTTTATAAAATATAAAAGCGGGCAAATTTACACAATACCAAGACAACAAGGGAATTCCAAAATACAATTAGCGCTTTCTATTCAAACCACTCACCCCCCCCCACCAAATAAACAGAAAAATTCGATTAAGGAAAAGCTATCAATAAGATTCCTATCTCAACGAATAAACAAATTAAACACGTCACTTACCACTGAAGACCAGCAAATCCGTTTAAAATAAAATATTACTTGTGGTATGCAATAGAAGCATAAGCTCTCCAGTGTTATACAATAGATAATTAAAAAAAAAGTATCGCTATATTTATTTCAAAGATAGCTAAAATTTATGCATCACCTACACCATATTAATTTATGAGAAGAAACAATTCTCTTTACTTTTTGGTCTCAATGGCAGGCGTTTAAGAAAGACCTCTATATGCCTAAATTTTCAGAAATAATTTGAAATTTATTTAAAAGCTACTGCTAACTGAAATGCGATGTTAAATGATATACTGAGGAAAATGGATCTTCATAAATTTCTAATTTTGAAAACAATAAATGTAATACTGTACCTCCCGAAGAGTGCCCATACTGTTGGGTATAGGACTCATTTTGATTACTCAGCAATGGTGATTTTTCGTTATCCATGTCTTAATAAGTTTAATTAATTAACAAACAACACATTCATCGCGAGCATCAGCTGACTTCTGTGACGCACAGGCTATTGCCAAAAATAAAGCGCGCTATAAGCAATTAACATAAGGCTTGGTAAATAAGTTTCAAATAATGTGAAGTGTTCTTTTTATGAACTAATAAAAAATAAAAAATTCACTTTTGTTAGAAATATTTTTCTAATTAAAAATTTCTCATTAAAAAGCTTTTTAACAAATTTGGAAATAATAAATTGCAGGGAAGGTTCAAATAAAAACACAAATAGCCCCTACTCCACTGTTAATCAACATCTGGTTTATTTATGCCTTGGTTTAATCCTAGTATCCGGTGCACACGGGATTTGGCTACTTTTGGCGACTTTATAATGAGCAGTAAAAACTGGACATATACGATGAGTAGTAAACGGGTCATTCAAAGAATATATATCGTCCTATACATAGATCTACTCATCGTATATATACTATATGGTTATAGTATAGTGATAGACGTTCTTTGGATCATTTTTGGTGTTGGCGATAATTTTCAAAATCGCGCCAACGCTGCACCGTATACTAGGATTTTACCTATGCCTTTTTACCCCTCACACATTCTGCATGATGGCTGTAATTATGTCAACAGGAAGTCGTGGTCAAAGACAACACTTTTACTCGCTAATAAGATTCCCATGCAACTCTGTTTCCTACTCACTCACTTGCGTTTAAAATGTCCCTCAAACCCTCATTCTGTTTCACCCTGTTTCTAGCATTATTCTTTTCATTCTGTTTCTAGCATTATTCTGTATTCTCCTCACCGATACTTCAAACATCTTTAATTTTTGTGCTGGTAAAAGAACCCCCCTTGCGCTCTCTTGAAATGCCATCCATTTTTGGATAAGTTTCGGAGAACAGCCTTAACGCCAAAATGGGGAGAAACGCTTATTATGGTAGACCACTTTATGGTTGTTATCATGGACCTTATAAGAAGTAGACTAACCCAGTGGGCGGGGCGCGCGTCACCGACATGTCGGCAAGAAAGGGTAGGGACGATCTGGTTTACTTTAACACTAAAACCTATGGCGTTTGTATCACATAACTTTTTTTAATTATTAAATGTGATACTTTGTATAGTAAAGAGAATATGAATGTTCAAACTTTTCATAGTATAGAGCGCTGTTGCGTTAAAAGAATTCTTTTGTGTTTTTACATTATGTAACTGTGGTTCCCCGTTGCGACGTGTCTGTCTTACTGTGATATATTTCGGTGTTTTCATTAAATATAAATGAAAGATATTGTCTTGTATTTTTGTATACCAAATCAAGATCAAAATTACCACTGATGCAAACTCATCGAAACAAAAATAGCATTTGAACAAGAATCGTCATGTGATATTACTCGCCTTTCGAACTTAGCATTCCTATCGTTAATCTCTTCGTAACAATGAAAGCCACAGTTTCTTCCAAATAGGATTTAATATATCTCATAGCACTTTTTACTGCATATCGCTCATTTGTTTTCAACCGTAATTCTTGTACAACCATCTTTACTTTGGTAAAACTGTAAAAACTCTAAGCGCAAAATTTATGAACTTAATTTTGCGTAAAAATAAAGTAAAATTAAATAAGATTGATAGTACGCGATGCTTTGAAATAAATAAGGTAAAATTAAACAAGATCTGATAATTTTTTTTTTAATTTAATGAACATTTTTCAGGCAGTGATTTTCCAAACTATAATAAGATTACAAAACGATCATATTTATTTGATTATATGATCATTAAATTATTAATATTAAAGTAGATTAGTTATTTAATAATTCATAAAATTTCGGAGCATAAAATTTTCTGAGCGTAATGAAGGAAAGTAAAAGATAAAATTAAATCTAGAAGCACTCTTTTTTAAAGTTTTGTGTGTTACCTATATTTATTGAATATCATGTTCTTCGACCGTAAACCACATACATTTGAAAACAGCATATCTTTAGAATTTCCGCACTGGAGATAAAACTGCTATTTTCCGTACAGTGCTAGCTCTGAATTCGTTGAGTTTGTTAATCAAAAATTCGTTAAAGTTTTACAAAATATGAAATAGATTAAAACAAATTCGAAATTCGGCCGTCCAGATGCCTATGTTCGAGTGGAGGATTACATTATTCAAAATTTGATGGCTCTAGATACTGTCATTTTTGTCACAGTGCGAGAAACATACATGTATTCATGCAGATTCTTCATTATTTAATTTCTTTGCATACAATACAGGGCGATAATATTTGGTAACAACAATTTGCGAGGAGACACGGATATTTATAGTAAAACAGCGCAAAATGCCGCTTCGAAATTAACAGCCTTTCTAGGCTACCCCTTTGGGCTAATAAATTAAATTAACATTAAATAAAAAAATCTTATGCAGAACTAAAAATAAATTTAAAAAATATAATCACTATAAAATACAAGCAAAATTAATTATTACGGTTAAATACAATTTTAATATTAGAATTAATGAAAAAAAATTTTTTAAGGAGTCAAAAGTGTTTATCACTATGATGTATTATGAAATATATTTGAAATAAAATTCCTTTATAGAAATTGTGCTATAATACTCATTTTTAATTTTAAAAATGCAGCAAAATTTAGAATTTTAAACAAAACTTTCAAAAATTCGTTTTTAAATATTTTAGTATTTTTTACTTATTTACACCAATAAAAGCATAAAAATTGCAAGAGAAAACTGCTTGTTTGAAATTTTCTATTAGTTCAGATTTAAATATTATTTTCTAAAAAGTAGTTACAAATTTCCTTACAGCATAGGAAAAGCTAAAAAAATATCCAGTCTGAAGCATGCAATAGCTTTATAATTATTTGGAATGTTTAATTGCTTGATAAATATGCCAAATTTTTAAAAATCAATCTCATTTCAAAATAAAAATATGGAAAATTCTAATTTGTGAAATGAGGCGCTACAACCAGCTTTTCTGACAATTTACAGCGTGCAATAGGCAACCACTGTTAAATTTCTGCAAGTCGTCCCTACTCCTCCGGATGTGATCAAGGTGACAGCCGGGAACGGTTCAGACGAGGGAGAAAACCCGGTTGGGTTAGTCTATTTCTTATAAGGTCCATGGTTGTTATCGGATGACGTACTTCTTCTAGGAGGACAGCGTGTTACTTTTTCCCTGCTAAGGGATTATCCGTAGCAGCAGATCCGGATACATATTCGGAGAATATTATTATGTTTGCTGTTTGCTTATCAAGCAAAAAGTATTAAATTAGATATAGCACATAATTGAATAAAATATAAAATATTGATAATGTATGTAAATATTTATAATTTTGCTTTGTTATGCTTCCCTGTACTCATCGATGTTCAAACATGGTTTATTCTATAGCTTTTTAGTACTTATTTTATGTGCATTGATTGCAAGTAATCTATAAACATTTTCCTGTACTTTCTTTCTTGCAATGTGTGCTTTCATATCGTAGTGCAATAAAATAAGACAATGTGTGCTTTCATATCATATTCATAGTTATGTACAGTAATCTGAATTCAGAGGAACTAAATTTGCCTATAGAGTAGCAGTTTTACTTCACAGTTGCTAGAAATATCGGCTAATCTTTGGAGTATGGTAACAGGTAGTTTGAATATCTGGCTTAAACAGACCTAAGTTCTCAGACTAAACATATTTGCAGTATATTTGTTCTGGGACATTTGTAGCCTCAGTCTGATATTTAGTTTATAGCACATTTAATATTTTTAGTATTTATTATACGAATTAGAAATAATAATAACTTTTTAGAAATATGTATGCGATAAATTTGTGTGCTGTTAGACATGGTAATGCTCTCAAGTCTTTAATTGTTCAAAATTTTACAAAATGCAATGGTATTGTATTTTATTTTTTAACTGCAGTATAAATATAAAAATGTCATTAAACCTGCTAGAAGGATACATATTTTGTAGTATTTAAACACATATTTAGTTACATGCATTATGTAATGGAAAGAGTAATTTGCATTAAAACATTTCCTTATCTTTATAGTATTTATATATATATATATATATATTATATTATGTACTGAGAAGTCTCATAAATTTAATAAATTCATATTTCTGTGTCATAAAATAATGCTGTAAAGCAGTTCATAATAAGTGGATTAAATGCTATAAGAATAACTAAAAATAGTTTTTTATTTTGATTTTAATTGTCATAAATATAAATCATCTCAACTTACAGAATGTGATATGAAAATTGCAGTACTTCCTTCATGATTTATTTAATTTAATTAAGTAAACTGAAGTCCTTGGCAATTGTTTATGATTACAGCAAGATATTTGAGAATTATTATAAATGAATTGTACAAATAGATATGCACTTCTGCATTACAATGACAGTGGAT